GCAAGCCAACAACTCATCTGTTGTCCCTTCCATGTACCATCTGGGTGTCACTGGAGGTAATTCCCAGCTTGACGGCTCGCCAGAGGCAGTGAGGGAGGCCCCAGTTCAAGAAAAGACAAAAGGGTTCTTTCTTCATCAGCATTAACCTCAGGCAGCTCTCGAGAAAAATTCTGGGCAATTAGTGGAGCATAAGAAGATTTATAATTGAAATCTAGTTTGTAGCACTACAGGCGGCTCCCTCAAAAGACATTTCTCATCAACAACAAAAAAAAAAGGGAAGAAAAGAATGGGGGGGGGGGAAGAACTAGTTAAAGAGTTTCAAAATCTCGATGAAAACTCCATTTAGTTTAACATTGCATGATAGCTTTCATAATTCAGAACAAAGTGCAAAGCTCTTTAATGAGGCCATTAATGACCCTTTAATTTACTCCACCAGGGCTGAATTCATAAAACATTTATGTTCCATTTACACAGGATTTTCATGCGACTCTTCAGGGCAAGTCAGCACCGCAGCGCAGGTGGGATGAAACGAAGGCTTGGTGCTTCTGTTCCCTCTGCTCTGCTCTCTCCTCACCCTGCTGCTACAGCTCTGCATGTGCCTTTTAATTCTGCTAGAGAAACTGCAGGGACCCTGGGGGGGGAAAGAGCCTTTTTTGACCCTTCTGCATGGTAAACAGATGCAGAGCTTTCTCTTACATTTCTGCTTTAGGAACAGTGAAACCCTTTTTAAGATCCAGCTGGGGCATCACAAGCCAGATTCAGGTTGTTTTTTTTTTCACGATCATTACAGCCCAGCTCCAGTTCAATATTCACCTGTCCTCCCTGTAGCTCTATCAGGTTTGCTACCTGGGGGAAGGGTATCCCACCAGACTGGGGCAGAAATGGAGGATGGAAGGATGCAGGTGTGGGAAGCTCCCTGCAGCAGGAACAGGGGGCTCTTCACCCCATTCAGCACTGAGCAAAGGTGACATCTGAATCACAGGTCACGCTCCAGCCCAGCTGCCTTTGGATCCAAACCAAGCCCTTTCTCTCTCACCAGTTTTTCTTCTCCTAAGGGTTTCACACAGGGAGAGACGCACAGGGATATGGTAAATTCTTACATCGGTTGAAACATCTTTAAAAGAAGAAACATTCTTCCTCGTTTATCCCAAAGATCTCACTCTCATGGCTCTAGAAGATGTCAGTTTTTAAGCACCTTCAGATAAAAAGAGCCATTAATTATTGCAAGTGCATTCACATCATCTGAATTTTGCTCTTAGCAGCCTTCTGACATTCACCACTTCTGGTCTGCCTCTGGCCTTGATGAAAGGAGGGTTTCTTGCACCAGCAGCCCATGATTCGCTGCAAACTGAACTTCTTCAGGCACCTGTGCTGTTCTCAAAGAGAACCTTGCCACACCTGCCAGGGCAGGACCATCCCAACAGGTCCCCAGGGAGGGACTGCAGGGGAAAAGGGGCGGCACTGGAGGCTGAATGGGACTCTAGAGAGGGATTTGCAAAGAGAACAAACTCCCAGTCCAACTCAGGAGGACACAGGTCCCACAGTGCCTGGAGAACCAGGCGTGGAAAGCCTCTGCAGAGAGGCAGGGAAGATGCTTTCAGGCTGTTGGCAGAGAAAGAATTTGGAGCCCATTGGAGAATATGTCAAGAGTCAACATCTGTCATGTCTACAAGTGACAGGAACATTCTGCGCCTGAAGGTCTGAGAGCTGGCTCTCCCTGCAGGATGGGGCCGGTGAAGAGTGAGGACACTGGCTCAGCAGGAGTTTTATTTTCCATAGCACTTGCCCTCCTCTCCTCAAACTCAGTTTGGGTTGTCGCTCTCATTTCCCTCTTCACCTCTGGTTTTGCTGACGCAAGTTGGAAACCTGACGGACCATCAAGGTACTGACACTGTTTGCTTCGGGATGGTTCATGAGTCATCCTCCCTGCTTCACAGCTAAAAGGATTGCTGATGCTGATGTCCTCAGAAGGGACACATCAGCAGGAACATCACTACATTTGAAGCTATGTCAGTGCTCATCAGCACTGGGCTGTGCACACAGGTTGGCTGTGCACAGGTAGGGTCTCCAGCACACACCGGGTCCTGCACACCAGGTTTGTTGTTATGGGGTCATTCTTTTGTTTTTATCAACTTTGGGGAAGGAAGCAGAAAGGAAGATTGCTTGACCTACCTGGTTCATTCATGCAGAACTGCTGTGCAACATAGAGTCAGATTTGTCAGAACACTTACATCACAAAAAGAGACTACGGCCAAAAGAAATTTTAAGCATGGTTAAGGAAAAAACAAACAAACAACAAACTAGCCCACAGATATAAAGTCCTAAGGGGAGGAAAATAGGACAGCACTTACCCAAGCACTCTAAGTGATGTTGGAATTTCACATTCAACACTGATCTAAGCACTGGAAGTGGCAGGAGCCTGGCACAATACAGGATAAATAGAATTCCAAAGCACTCAAGTCTGAACAGGGGGCATCTAAGTTTCCTTGCTGAAATCACAAAGAGGCACGAGAGCAGCAGCACTGAGGAGACTCTGTAGAGAGGGACAGCTGTCCCCAGTGCTGGGATCACTCCTGGGACATTGCCCTGTACAGTGATGGTTGAGTGGCAGAGAGCAGGGAACAGAGCCAGGTCTGAGAGCTCAGAGACCTCCTTCCTGCTGGCAGCTGGGGGGTCGTGCTGCCCTTGGCTCCAGCAGCAAGGGGCCCTCACTTTATTGCCGTGCGACTCCCAGAGTCAGCAAAGCAGGAACCCCATTCAAACCAAACACTGGGTCGTCTACCAAGCAAAGGCTGCTATTTAGTTAGAAACACACAGCCTCTTATTATTACGTTTCCCTGGAAAAAAAAATTATGTTTGAATTAGAGAGAAAAATATTTAGTGAAAAATCAAACATCCACGTGCACATGGAGTCCTCGACATACCATAAAGACTCCATACCCTGTTCAGCACATCTCTGCATACAACAACCATCTCTAGGTAAGCCCACAGCCAGAGGTTAGGTTGTCCACACTGACACAGCGGGCAGCAGCTACAGGCTGGTAAAGCTGCCCAGGTCTGCACTGATTTCTTACCCTTTCCAGATGGCTCCAAGAGCTGAGACACACTTGAGGGCATGCAGTACGTGAAGCCAACAGACATACCACAGTTATGAGGATCTTTTCATATTTCAGCCATGCCTAGAAGCACAGTTTCAGCCACAGCTGAAAGACATTTGCTTATATACCCGAGTGATCTGAGCACCTCTTGACAGCCCAATGTCTCTACCTCCACATCTGAGCACAGAGACACCTGAGGATCCCCACGTATTCATTTTCCTTCTGCTGCTTTAAACCACCCAGGAGAGGGCAGCTGGGATATTGCAAGCCTCAATCTGATCACTTCAACAAGTGATCCAAAGGAGCAGGGGTGACACTCACAAGGTGCCTGTGCAGTGAAAATCATGGTGGTTTCACAGCTGAATCATGAGCTGGAATGGACCCTTCAAGGCCATCTGATCCGACTCCCCTGCACTGAACAGGGACTCCTACAGCTGATCAGGTGCTCAGAGCCCCGTCCAGCCTGACCTGCAGTGTCTGCAGGGATGGAGCAGCCACCACCTCTCTGGGCAACCTGTGCCAGTGCCTCACCGCCCTTATTGCAAAAAACTTCTTCATTATATCCAGCCTAAATCTACCCCCTTTTAGTTTGAAACCATTTCCCTTGTCCTATCACAACAGGTCCTACTAAAGAGTGTCCCCTTCTGTCTTACGGCCCCTTTAGATACTGAGAGGCTGCTCTCAGGTCTCCCCAGAGCCTTCTCTCCTCCAGGCTGCACAACCCCAGCTCTCAGCCTGTCCTTGTAGGGGAGGTGTTCATCCCTCCGGTCATATGTGTGGCCCTAAGCAGGATACAATCAGAACACCAGTGGGAAAGCCCTGCAGGGCTGTTTTTCTTAGCACAGCTGCTGGATCTTCTAATCAAGGCTATCAGATACACTGATATCATGCTTATAATGGTATAACTCTATATCAGTGTAGTGGCACAATGGATTTACAAAGGAGCAGTATATACAGAAATAGGCATTCATGCTTGCTAATCCCTCATAAGCCTGTAATCCTGATTCTTTTTTTTCCCCAAATAATAAGTGCAGATCTATTAAGACCCTATCACTCCCTGCATGCTAAATTCTTTTTTTCCTGCCTGGAATCTGCTATGTACCCTACATGTGCATGGCAGGGCACAGGGTAATGTGCCACCAGCAGAAGCACGTGGAAGCAGTCACAGCTTCACCAGTTGTTGTTTATGGAGAGCCTGAGGATGCTTTCTGGAAGGCATTTCTACATCAGAATGAAACACATTTATGTGCAAGCAGTAAGCAAGGGGACACCATCAAAGTTTGCCAGCCTCCCCCCATGCCAGCCTGGCAGAGGTTTTCCACATTCCTCTCACTGGCTGTGCAGCCAAATCCACACCTCCAGCAGCAACCCCAGCCACAGACAGCTATTTCCAGGGAGTCTCGGTACCAAACAGCTTTTTACAACCCTTTTGTAGCTAACCACATGTGTACAACCTGGAAACAACCCTTCCAGAAGTGACAAAGTAATAGTCACTAATTACACAATTAATTTATCCTTTGGCACTAATAAAAAAAAAAAAAAGGGATTTTCATTACAAAGGAGGGTAAAAACAATCTAAGGATTTGTTTAATTAAAACTACAATGTACTAAAAATACAAATAATCCTAATGATACAGACAACATTGTAATTGTGTAATTAGTAATCACCTACAGAAACCATGTTTCTCTGTCTCTAAAACCACTGACTTTTCATCTTGCTGTTTGTTTTTCCCTTTTTATTGCATGTAACCATCCTCAGGGCACGCAAATCACAACAGCAAATTGCTGCACACAAGCTGCTGGCTCCATGTGCCATCCCTTACCTGCAGGCAGAGGCACTGCATCCACACTGCTTGCATCCCAATCCCCATTGAGTTGCTCAGTGTCCCTCTGTCCGTGACGAACACTTCTGTACCAGGGCAGAATTGTGACTCCAGCCACGAATTGCTGTTGGGATGGAGCTGACAGGCAGAACAGGCACAGCCTTCTGAAAAGGGAGCCAAGGAGCAAACTGTTAGCCCAGTGCTATATATATATTATGCTTACGTGTCCAGGTGTTAACCAATGTTACATATATATTTTAAGTATTCATATATTCATAGCTATAAAGGCCCTTTTTCTACTTGAGCTAAATTGTATAACCGTGACCTATTGTCCCAGAAGGCTTTTTATTCTTGTTAAATGGGCACTGAGATTATAATGCTCCTTGCTAGTAGGTGCAGCAGTGTTCTGGAGCAGACAGGGAAGATGGATGGTCCTGCTGAAGCTCAGCAAAGAGGGCAAAGCAACTCATGACAGACACGAGAGCTGAGCAGTGCTGCAGTGTTCATGTTCCTCATCCCTCCCCAAAAAAGAAAACCAACCAAGATACAGCCAAGCAGCAGAAGGGGCTGGCTGTGCCCTGGGAGAAGGCAAGGCTGTCACCTAGCCTCACCCCCTCCCTATACATGGCTCCTGGGACTTGTCACCTGTATGCTGTCAGAACGGGGACAAGGCTGGCACCGGTGCCAGGGTGCATGGATATCGTGTCCCCTTGCTCTGACACAGGCAGGGTGGAAGTGGCAGCAAGCTGGCTGCTCCGCCGGTGCCAGATGGTGGATGAGATTAAAAGAATTTGATTTTCAAATAATCCATAAACCTGGCTGAGCTAATGTCGTTTCATATGCATTATCTTGTAATCCCAGGGAAGAGAGCATTTCAGAGCAAAGAGCCTTACTCTCCCTCCCTGCAAGGACTCTAACAAGCTATAGATAATCCCCTTTTTGTTGGAAGGTGCTTAGGGGAAGCGACAACACCCAGCGAGGGGCTGCGGCTGCACAGCTCCATGCCCGGGGGGACCAGCAGCTGCCTGGCACTGCAGGGGCCGTCTCACCCTTAGCACTGTAGGGTCAGGGGCAGCAGTTGGCAAAGCCAGAACCCCGGGCGATAAGGGAGAGTAAGGAGGGATTTTTGCAACTCCTGTCCCCTCATGACACGTGGAAGCCCAGCAGCCCCCAGCATTCTCCATCATCAAACCCAGCTGCCTGATCCCTGCCTCATTTCCCTGTCCTAGAGATTCCACTGAGCGCCTTGTTACCCACTGAGCCTCCGTGGAGCAAACGCGACCCACTGCTGGTCCTTGGGACCCTTTGGAGTTCAAGCCACCACGTTAAGAACTAGCGATCCCTACTCTAGGTTTAGGTTCCTCACTCTGGAGCGGGTGACTTTAAGGGGAAGGAATGGGAAGCTCCACGATGGGATTTCCCAGTCACTGTCTGCCATCTAGTGCCCAGCACGGAGCACAGGCAGCAAGCAGCGTGCAACCCCATCCTTGGAGGAATTTCTCTTACGCTGGAGCCACGATGCGATCACTGTGCTCCCAGTGCAGGGAGTTCCCCACCCTGCTCCTCCCTCTGCACCAGGGAAAGGGTTTGGAAATCAAACAGCCCAAATCCTGGAGGGATTTAATAAGGAAAAAGGCCCAAAGCAAAGGGAGGTGACTGCACAGTGCTGCCCAAGAGCACCCAGCACAAGCCTGATGTGCAGGGGCCTCAATAGCAGCTTGTAAGTGCAGTGCCCAGCTACAGCAAGTTAACTAAATGCAATACATGCTGCTTTGCAACGTGCTGCTATCCTCAAGGCCATAATGCTGTTGTCAGCAGCTCCAAGCAGAACGGTGCAAGCTCACATTGTGTGAGGAATGCCACAGACAGGCTAGGAATAGGGAGTGTGAGGGAAAGGGGTAAGGTGTGATGCTTGTCAGCAACGTGGAGATGGACAAACTACAGAAAAAAAGGCAGGGGACAAAAATTAAGAAACAAAACTAAGAGACACCGACCGTAATTCAGGTACTGTAGGTGTTGAAGACACCAGTAAAGTTTCCCGACCAGATCAATCCATGGGAAACCACTGCAGCAGGAACATGGCACCAGCAGCCACCCCATCACACCTCACTGCTCTCCTAAAGCTCAGCCAACATTCCCAGCCCGTGCCCTGGGTAATACCACAGCTCAGAGGCTGCTTTGTGGAGGCACACATTGGTGTTTGACATAAACAGGCTGCAGCAGTCATTTGGAAAAGCCAGCCAGGGCAGCAGCTCACAAACACGCAGAGCCAGAGTTACTGATGAGCACAGGGCTCCAATTTCCTTCAGTGCTTCCAAAAAAGCACTAGGCAACATTAACGAAAGGATTACACAGAATTCAAAAGCAAATGGGATTTGTGACCTGTTGTATTAACCGGGGACTGGAGAAAGCTCTACAGAGAGAGAACACTGGTGGCAGGTCACCAAACCAATTATTAAGAGCTCACAGATCACAAAGCTGGATACATACACACATCAAGACAAGTTTCTGTTTGCCTGCAGAAGCAGAATGCTGGCTGGACCACCCTCCCAGCCCAGCATGCTTTTTCAGTGTGCCTATTAAACCTGGATTATACCTGGTTACTTTCCCCAGTAACTCACTTCCCCCACAGGTTTAATGCAGAGGAATAACATTTGGGAGGGTGAAACCTGAAAGGAGAAACATAATGGGCATAATTACTTTGATAGATGAGAGAATGCAGAAAGCTGGCACGCAGCATGAGGAGGCAGCAGCCTGCCCCTGGGTGCAAACCTTTACCTGTGAAATCTTGCAAGCTTTGTCTCATGTAATTATAAGATAGGATGACCAGAGTGGCTGTGTAAGGGGCCGGCTCCTTCTAGCACTCTTCTTGCTGCTGGAGGGGGCTTTGATGAGGCCATGAGTCCTGAACCCACTGCAAAAAGGCTTTATTGCCTTGCCTGGTTTTTGAAGAAGTTTTACGTCAGCTCAAAGTCCCTTCATATTTCAATCAAGAAGTGTCCTTGTGTCTCCAAGCATTGCCTATGAAGTCCTGCCAAAGGACTGTATAACACCCCACAATCTGTAATGGAAGTGTAGTCTCGACAGTGAAGCTGTATCCAGAACAACCTGAAGGGCTTCCTGCTGCCAGCATTTTGTGCTTACCTCACAAATGCCCAGGTTTGCTTTTTGTGGGCTTGGTGTTGAGGTCTCAGCAAAGTTTCTGGAGCAATTTTACCAACTTCCAGTTTTCCAGTAGCTCTCCTCCTTTTATACCAGTCTTTATCTTTGCAAAGGAGTGCAGCACTCTGCCTGTGCCACTCGGTGTTCATCCAGAAATGGGAGGGAAAAAGCACAATTGAAACAGAAAGATGAGACATAACCCAACCACATCACTGGTGACCTATCTCAACCAGACCTCCCATGCCATTTTCTGCTGGACCTCCAAGATGCCCTGAGCAGAGCATCCCATGATGTTTTCCATGAAGGCTTATGCAGTGCTCACAGAAATCCTGGGAACTGATGAAAAACTCCTTCCCAAGAGACAGACCCATTCCAAGACACAGGAAGCTTAGGCAAAACAAGAGAGGTGGAGCCACAGAAGATCCCTCATCCTATGGGACAAAACATGGGGTGAACCCAGAAGCTGGGATGGCCTCATTCACCTAAGCCAGCCTATCCCTTGCCCCTGCAGGAAGGGCCAAACAGGGCAGCTTTCCCTGTTCTAACAAGCTCTGAGCTGTACTTGGGAGCAATAGTATCTCTCCTCATTCAGTGTTTTAGAGAGCAGGAAGCAGTGTAGCCTATGGCTCCGGAGGCCTCTCCTGGCTCTAAATGCATTTATCTTCCAAGTACTGAGGTATTTTAGTTGCTTGGAGCCAGACAGAAGGAGAAAAAAACTAAGTTTCCTTTTACACGAGAAAGCATCTGAACAGTTTGGTGTTACTGTATCACAAAACATGCAAAGGTGGTTCTGCTCAGAGGCCACCGATTCCCAAAACTCCTGCTGACAGGGCAGGATATCAGCTAAGGAAGTTATTTTGTAGGGGAAGCAGCAGAAATCTGTTCCTGCGAAGTTGAGAAGTGGTTTTAGTAGGACCTGTTATCTCTCCATTGCTGGAGAGGACAGCTAGCATCCAATTTGTCACAAAGAAAGCCTTCACCTCTCTCTTCCCACACTGTGACTGAAGCAGTAAGTTCAACGGAGGAGTTTCAGACTGCAGTTGATACTTGCATTCATTTCTGCTTCTGGAGGTTTTTGCAATGGCTGCTACACTGCACTGCACCAAGGAAAGGTCCTCCAGACAGATATGCATCTTTCTGTGTTGAGGGCAGAATGATCCGACTTTTGTGTACCGCCCTCACGAACAGGAGTGCTCTGTGCAGAAAATGGCTTTGAAGAGCAGAAAGTCTCTGCAGTCTGTCAGCACTCTGCAGCTTTCTCCCCAGGCTGTGCAGTGTGGAGAAGATAACACTCCAATAATGGCCTTGGCGGCTGCAGTACCAATCTCACATTGGACTTCTCAGCTGAGCTCCACACGGCTGCTCTCAAAGTGAGGAATCACAGGAGGCCCTTTCCAAAACACAGCTCTCTGACACACACTTCACAGGAGAGCTCTTCAATTGATCTGACAGTGCCTTGCACTAGAGAGCTACAGCAAACTTGGTGCCTTTCCAGCTATCCGCTGCTGCTGCTTCACATGCTGATGGAGAGAGCTCATGAGGAGGCAAAGCCAAAGTGAGAAAAACCTTGAGGCTCTGGGTGCAAACAAGCACCAAACTTCCTAAACAAACAGGCAAATACTTGCATAGTTCTCTGTCACAGTTGCAAGGTGAGCTTCATGTGTTTTGCTCAGCATAACTCATCTGCTTCCCCTACTCTTTGTGCTGGGCTGCATTCAAGGCAGCTCTCTCCTAGCCACAACTTGAGAGGTTTCTTCTGCTCCAGCAGGGAGAGGGGCTCTCTCAGAAAAGGCCCCAAGGTGCTGTGCTGGCTTTTCAATAGATAATAGTTAAAATAGATCAGCTACCTGACCAGACCTGCAGCTTCACAAGGAGTATGTGTAAGTTTGCACAGAGTGAAAAATTAACTTGTAGCCACAGATTTCTGAAACTTGATGAGGGGCCACATTTCTGAAACTGCCACTGTGATCTGCTACAGGACCTTTGGGAGTAGAGAGAATATGCAAAAAACATCTCCTCTCCCCTAGGAAATCTTCATGGTATGCTGCCTTCCCCCTCACAGAAGCCAACTGGAAGGGCAACACACAGAACAAGAAGTGAGCAAAAGCACCCAAACAAGGGGATCAGGGATTGTTTACAGCAACTAACTGAGGGTTTTTAAACAGAATAAACTGCAGGGGAAAAAATAAAAATAAAAGGCTATGTTCCTATGTAGATTGGGAGCAGCAATTCTTGTTTTAGGTGCTGAGGAAGCAACAGTTTCAACTTTGAGAGGAGACTCGGTTTCCTGTGCACCCGCTGCCTAGAAGAACAAAGACCTGATCCTGAGGAAGAAAGGAACAAAATTTAGAGCTGTTGATTCTGACCTGTCCATTGCTAGAGGGAGCTACTCCTCTCAGTACAGAGGGTGCTCAGAGACTTCACTGCTTGAGCAAGCCAGAAAAGAATTGTCCAGGTTCAAGATGAGCAAGCTTCCTGTACAGCCTTTTCTCTCTTTTGTGCACCTAGATTTGAGATTAAAAATGCACTGATTAAATACCATCTTATATACTTTGAAAGTCTCACACCACACCACAAAACCTGCCTTTGGCATGGGAAGTGAAGAAGAGAACTTGGCAAGGAGCTCAACCGAGCCTGCACCCACAAAGCTCTGCTCAGAAGCTGCATGCTACAGAGCTAGCAATAGCTTGAAATGGGGGCAGAGAACAGCAGAATCCAGAGCTGCCTGCATCCATTCCCCCAGGCTGCTAGGGATTCCAGGGGCACAGCCTGAGGGGAAGGACTCACCTCACCCCTCCACAGGAGCTTTAAGTCTCAGAGAAGGCAGTGCTGACCTCCAGACAGCGGCCAAAACATCTGCAGTTTTGCAGGCATGTATTCTACTCCACATTTACCTCCTCTTTGTAAATGCCCTCCACTGCAAACAGCCTCCTTTGACAGTTCTGTAAGGGTGTTTCAAGAAACCAAGTTTTGTTTATAGTTCATGACAAGCCTTCAGCTCTCAGCTGCCCAGCATTAGAAAATGAGGCTACTGAGCTACTCCCAACCCCAATGGCTCATGGAGTGATTAAGAACAGCTTTAATTTGAGGTCTGCAGCTCTCAAAGGATTGATGAAATATATATATCAATCTCCAGCTCCACCTCTGTAAGACAAACACTTTCCAGATGATTAACAACACCCATTTCCTCCCTCTCCCTGCCACCAAAGGCAGATTCCCTGCAAAGTCTAACCAGTGCTGGGCTCACATTCTGAGTGTAACACTGTAATGTGAAGGAAAACACAGCAATGACAGTGGAATAGCAAAGTCTTATGTTGCAGGAAGTGAGGATATGCTCAAATGCAGCAGCTGTGGACACAGAAACAAAGAAAAAAGAAATCTGCTTACCCTTGGAAAGCCTCAGGTACGCAGGAATCTCCATCAGGATCCCCTTGCCTTCACTGCCAACCCTCAAATGAGGTCTGGGAAGGGGTGGATTCTGGTTCTGATTCTACCCCTTCCAGTCACTCAGATGCATTGCATTGCATACATGTGAGTTCCCCTGGGTTGGTCCTGGTGGCCTTCCCACCAGGTGCTCAATCACTGTTTCAAGCTGTAACTTAGCATTTCCACTACACTAACAGTAACACAACCAGAAAAAGCACTTCAAGAAACACAACCAGACCAGAGAGATGAGACTGTGCCATATAAGCATAAGATAGCCCTTCTAATAAAGAAATTGGAGGAATAGGTTCAGGCTACCTGAGACAGACTCACCTGGCTGCATTAGCCGTGCTGCCCTAGTACACTGGGAACAGGAGCTGAGAATCAAAGCCACCTTTGAGGCTGCTCACAGGAAGTAGGAACACTAGAGCTGCCTTTCCTCTGCAAGCAAAAGTCAGCCTTTCAGCCCAGAAGGAACTGCTGATCAAATAGTTCTCCCCTTCAGAGTTTCAGACCCAAGGGGACAGTGGCGTAGGTGGAAAAGTAGCAGTCATCTAAAGAGATACTGCCTGTTTCTCATGCATCTTTCCACTCAAGGTCCTTCTGGGGCCAGACGCAGCTCCAACATGGACAAAATGTAACAAAGCATTGAACAACTGCAGCTTCCAGCTCCCCAGAAACATGCGCTGCCCAGCCCTGTTAGCCCTTACTTGCTGCCTGCGATCCAGTACTAGCAGTCTTGTTTCTGGCTAGAGGAACCTAAATCCATGGGTGACACTGTAAGGAAATCTCAGCAAGCAGGGACAACGAACTGCTTACCTTTGGAGAAGTTCCACAGGATCACACAAAGAGCTCAGCCAACGTGTCCAGAGAGATCAAAGTGTTGCTGGAAATGCTGGTGGAGCTGCCTCAGGCCTGCAAAGCTAATCCATGGATAAGCATCTGACTGCTGCTCTGCTGCACTGAGCAATGTGCATATCCTCCCCAGAGCAACATAACAACCCAGAAGAAAACTACAGTTTCAGAGGCTGGAATGATGCCAAAGAAAATCACCCCCCTGTCAGTTCTCCCATTATCTAGCTGGCTAACCCCCCTCTTACACCTAAGAACATCATCTGCCAGCTGGAAACAAATGTAACTATCCAGCACTGCTCTTAGTCACGAAAAAAGGCTTCATCTCAGTTAAGAGCAGTTGCCAGAGATGAGCATTGGCCATTGCTTAGAAGAAACCATTTGAGCTCCAGACCACAACACGAGTCTGGTGAGGAGCCTCCTGGGTACCACAGCCCCAGGGAACCACATGCTTGGAGAAGAACAGATCACAACACACATTTCCAGAAAAGGTGGAGGAGGATTCAACAAGAGCAAAGAACTCCCTGAGGAGAGCTTCACTTGGGAGTATAAAGTTTTAATATTTATTTAATACAGGCCTGGTGAAGAGAACTGGGAAATAAGGCAAAGGCAGTTTATCCTCCAGAGTCCTGCTTAACATCCCATTCACACAGACCACACGAAGCAGCAGCTGTGCTCCTCCCCAGAGTCACATTCCACATCTTCCCCATCTGCCTGAGCACAGCCTATCACTTATAAGTCCAGAAGGAATCGATTGATTTTTTTCAGGTATTCCGACTTCAAGTAATCTCCCAGCTCATCCTTTGTAACCCACAGATAATCTTTCTTCAGCTCTGCCTGGGACAAATCACTGCTTTGGAGGAAGGCTTTGTAGAAGAATACTTTGGCTCCCACGTTATCCTCAGTCCTGATGGCCCTGGGGAATTTATACTTGTAAATCCCATATGGTGCATTCCCCAGGATTTTGGCTTGAATGTGATCGCCTGCAAGGCCCCAGCAAAGAAAACAGAAAGCAAAACATAAGACACAGAGCAATAGTAATTGCACTTTCATAGTCACAGACACACAGCATATGACTTTATATCTGGTTCAGACTGTTCTCTCTTCTAGCAGAAATACTGCCAATTTTAAGTCTCTTCTCATGAAAAAGTGACTTGTCTGAAGCTCAGCAAGTCCTTGCAGAACAAGGGAGAGAGCATCACACTCTGCCAACACGCATCAAAAAGCAAGGAAATGCAGGTTTGCTATCACCCATCTGCCACAAAAGCTGATACAGGGCAACAAGACTGAAAGAGAAGCTGCACACTTAGAGCAACCATTCAGGGGACATCTAGTGAAACTCAAACATCAGACTGCAAGAGCTTCACACTGCAGCTGCTGGCAGTCAAAAATCCCAGCCCCTAGCCTGCTGGCTCCGTCAGCCCCTCACAATGCAGTGCTGCTGAGCACAGGATCACAGCTCTTGCCAGAAACCCTACCACACTGGGTATATCTCTATGCCACAAAATACCTCTTCTCAGCAGATGGGAGGCAATTTTGCTACAGATGGTGAATATCTCTTAGGTAGGGCAAGGGAAAAAAAACAACTTGGACAAAGAGGAGCAAGAGACAGGCACACAGCAGACTACATACCTAAAAACGTAGCCATGGCTCGCTCAACTGTGCTTCGCAGAGTCTCTCCAGGCTGCCATTCTGCTTGAGGCAGGAGCCACAGCTCTTGGTTACCAATTTTCTGTTTCACCAGCAACATCAGGTTACTGTCCAGCTTTCTGTTCAGTGATGTTCGATCGTTTTTTTTATCAGCCTCTGCCAAAAAACAACACATGCTGGAAATAAAGTCTCCTGGCCACACTGGAATCGCTATGATTCATCACCTCTCTTTATCTTACATCCTTCCAACAACACAGATGCACAGATATCTGAAACAAGACAAGAATCTAGCCAGAATTACTCTCAGACACTCTGAAGGCCAGTGCAGGATTCAGAAAAATACTACTGCCAAAGCACACTCTACCTAGTCCATTTTCAAGGGAATCTGTGGCAAGAAGCTTGGATCTCCAGCTTCTGAAAAAAAAGCCAGTAAGAGCAATGGGAAAGCATGGGAACCAAGGTTTCTCTTATGTGGAAACAATCACAATTTTACCTACTTTACTCTCATAAGGTTGTATGAACACATGCATCTTCATAACAGATTCCACTGTCAGATGATTAACTTCTCATGCGTTGACCACGCTGCCACAGCATCAAGATTAAAAACAAAAACAAAAAAAACAAAAAACAAAACAAAACAAAAAAACCTCAAAAAATGTCCTTCTTCATCAACCAGCCCTCAGCTGTGCCTGGCAGAGGACTGGGGCACAACACTTCCACAGGTACCTGTAATCCGCGGGGCTGGGCTGAACTGCAGCAGCTTCTGTTCCCACTTCTCCTCCAGATCCTGAGCCATAACAACCGTTCTGCCCAGCTCTTCATCTTCATCATCATGCAAGCCTTCCTTCCTCCTTCTGAGCTGCTCCTCCTCCTCCAGCTTGCGGATTTCGTGGTCGGAGTAGCGGCTTTTCTCCAGCTCTATCTGTAAGGGCATCATAAAGACCACTCGGCCACCAGCACAATCAGAGATCGTTAAGGTTGGAAAAGACCTCCAGGATCAC